CGCTGTTGGGCTGGTTTAGCCAGACCCATGGTTGGTTTAGTCAGCCGTTAGCCGATGTTAAAAACGCAAGTTCTCCAAAATAAAAACCAAGTTGAGAAAACATTTGTTTATTGCATTTTGCTAAGAAATCAAGTAAAACATCTTGAAAACCACGTCATTTAGTTGAAAACCACGGCTAGCCAAGTTCGCGCCGTTTCGCATGGTTTTCACTAAACGACAAAAAACGGAGAGTGGTTTTTGAGGCGTTTTTGTTGGAGAACTATTTAAATATGCCCAGAAGTAAAAACCAGTCATAAAAAGTTGAAAACCACTTGGTTGGTTTGGACGCCAAAAACCAATGCCGAAAACCGAAAGCCGAACGCTGGTTTCTGAAAACCGAACGCCGGATGGCTTGGTTTTTGGCTTGGATGAACTCCAAGTGTTTTGACCCAAGTTTAAACTTAAGAAAAGTATTTTTGAACATGTAAAAGAGATTTTTATGAATTAAGCCTAGAGAGCCAAGATTTGGAGTTTTGTGCTGGTCTTGATCACATTAAGACCGACTCAATACAATTCTAGTTCTTCGTTCTTGATTCTGGGTTCTTGGTTCTCAATTCATCATGCCATGTTCCTTCGCCTTAGTTTTGCTCACTTTAGCTTCGATATGTCGCGGCGGTTTGGCATTATCAAAACCTGCCATAAACGAACACAGTTTAGTACGACGTAGGCGTAAACCCGTGTTCCAACAACTGTTCCAAAGAACATCATGTCCTCATCAGGTAACCAATTTTCACTTCCATAGCTCTTCCACTTCTACCCTTCCGGATGAGATACCGAAAACCTGGACAAAGAAGGTCCAAGGGCTGATTGAATCAGCCCTAGCATCTCAACATGCCTCCTTTAGGCAAGAGATAGAGCAAATGGAAGCCAAATACACTCAACTGCTAGAGAAGTCAGAAGAAAAACACAGCGCAGATCTAAAAGAGATAGGTAAATCAGTAGACAAAACTCTAGAGACCATCTCTCTATTGAGTGATACTGTGAGCAACACTATGGAAATTTATGCCTCTGACAGTCAACTTCAATTCAAAGAGTTCAACAAAGTCAAAGAGCAAATAGCAAGTGTCACAGTTGGTCTACAAAAACAGATGTCCCTTCTCCAAATGGACATCAGATCAGCCCTAGTAGTAGCTTCCGCAAACCAGGTAGTAATCAAAGACTACTTGAAGGTGATCATTGACAATCAAAAGGAAGCATACAAGCTGTTCAGACTTATTGGTGCACATACTGGGAACCGCAAGATGGAAGTGATTCTCCAACAACACAACCCATCTCTAATACCACAGCTCCCTATTGCAGTCAACGAAGGAGAAGCATCTTATATCCCTTCTCATCTGAACATGACAAATTTGATCCTTGAAGCACAGCAACGAAATCCGGAAAACTCAGCACAGCACCTATCCAACTCAGGACTGGATGGAACAGAATTTATAGGTGCAGTCGTTGACCACTTCTCAGATGCTGCTCAATCAGAGGAAAGGCGTGCAAATTTAAAGCGCATCAAAAAACTGTGTGGGAATATGCAAGGCATCAGTGAGGTTGCCGGATCTTCAAAACGCAAAAGGAACTGAAGGTTCTTTTCATCAAACCAGGGGGAAAGTATGTGAAAACACCAATTTGTTTTGATGAAAACACCTTCCTGTTTAAACATTGCTTGATTGGTTTAAACATTGCAACACTGCTTCAACAATTTTTAATTGCGCTTATTATGCTTGATTATGTTTATCTCAAGTATGATTTTGTCTTAATTAATTTTTCTGAAGCGCATACATTCAGGGGGAATGTAATTCAGGGGGAACTTAACTAGTTTTGGCTAACAATTGTTTTTGGCTATGAATTATTGATGAGCTCTAAGCAATGGAAGTCGGATATCTCAGTTTTGGTACTAAAATTGGAAATCTCCGATTCAGGTACTTTACAAAATCTGCCTTCTTAAACTAAG